TTGAAGGACCTGTCACCGGCAATATCCCGGAGGTCCTGGACAACGGAGAGGTAACTGACGGCACGCACGTCACCGCAGGGCAGCTGGCCCTTGCTCTGACGCCCTACGCACAAGTGGCAGACCTAGCCGTGAACACGGCAGCCTCCGGCAACAACGCAGCCGCCATCCAGTCGCTGGACGACCGGGTCACCGCAGAGCTGGCGTCAAAGCTGGACAGCAGCGCGCTGGCGCCGGCAATTGCGCCCCGCGCACGGAAGCAGCATCGCTGCGCTGCAGAGCTCGCTGACCACGGGTCTCTCCAACAAGGCAGACCAATCGGCCTTCGACGCGCTGGAGGGCGTGGTGGCTACGAAGAGCACCCCGGACGGCGTGGACCTGAAGCTGTCCAACTACAGCACCACGGCGGCCATGAACGGCTCCATCGCCTCGGCCAACAACGCCACGCTGGCCACGGTGGCGGCCAACTACGGCCTCAAGACGGTGGTGGACCAGCACTCCCTAGACATAGCGGCGAGGATCACGCCGCTGGAGGTCGACACCAAGGTGGCCAACGCTCTCCTGGGAGCCGTCACCGCCGCAGCGCTGGCCTCCGAGCTCGCGAGCCGAGACGCCTCCATCTCGGGCCTGCAGGCCTCCAAGGCGGACGCCAGCGCGCTGACGGCGTACGCCCCGCTGTCGGCCGTCGACACTTCCTCGGAGGTGGACTCTAAGATAGCGGCGGCCCTCCTGGGCGCAGTCACCACGGCAGCCCTGGACGCCGCCCTCCTCGGCAAGGCGGACGCCAGCGCGCTGGCCGCCCTGCTCTCCACGGTGGACGGGCTGGACACGCCACTGGAGGTGGACACCAAGATAGCAAATGCCCTGCTGGGTCTCGCCACCGAGGCCTTCGTCGCAGCGCAGCTTGCTAGCCGTGACGCCAGCATCACGGCGCTCCAGGGGGCCAAGGCCGACGCGACGCTGCTGGCCTCGTACGCCACGAACGCCGCGCTCTCAGCCAGCGAGACCACGCTCCAGAGCGCCCTCGACGCAATCCTCGCGGAGCTCGCCGCCCTGCAGCTTTCCGGCAGCGGCGGAGTTGTTAACGCACCGGCCTGGGCGGGCTTCACAACTTGGGAGCTCGTTCGCGGAAGCAACGTCGTTCGCAACCTGCATCTGGAGGCTCCTCTCTCTGCTGCGCTGGCCAACGGCGAGGACACGCTGAGCATCACGGCCGACTGCTACTCCGTCGCAGCGGCGGACGCGGCCCTCGCGGCTGCGCTGCTGGCCTACTACACCTCCTCACAAGTGGACGCCCTGTTGGGAGACTACCGCACGGCAAGCGCGCAGGACGCGGAGACGACCGGTGCCATTTCGGCCGCGCTGCTGGCCTACTACGCCTCGGCGCAAGTGGACGCGCTGTTGGGAGACTACCGCGCGGCAAGCGCGCAGGACACGCAGACGCAGGCCGCCATCGCAGGCGCGCTGCTGGCCTACCGGACGGGCCCGGACCAGGATGTTTCACAACCAACCAAATCACCTCCGCGCTGGTGGCGTACCGCTCGGCCGCCGACCAGGACACGGCAACGGCCTCAAGCATCGCCGCCGCCCTGCTCAGCTACTACACCATCGCACAAGTGGACGGTTTGTTGGCTGGCAAGCTCGGAGTCACGGAGGCAGCCTCGGCCCTGCAAATAGCCGTGCGCTTTCCGGACGACGGGGGGGCCGACGAGGTGGTGGCCGCCATAGGAGAGCAGATCCTGGGCCCCACGGACGTCTCACTGTCAAACTGGACGGTTCGCCCCAGCAGCGGCTGCAGCGTGGTCCTGGCCACACACACCGCGGGCGCAGCGAGCGTGGACGGCTACACCCTGACCCTGGCGGCGAACCCGTGGAACATTGTGCGCACCTACAACTTGACGCCCGGCCGAGAGCTCCTCTTCGCCTGCCGCTACCGGCTCGGCACGGCCTCCAACTTCGTAGTGTACATGTCCGAGGCCGACAACGTCTACGACCCATTGTACGGCTTCGCGGGAGACGAGGGCGCCTGGAGCACGGCCAAGATGTACTTCACCGCGCCGCCAAACGGAGTGGCGAAGCTGCACTTCGGGGCGCACTTCCAGGCGCCGGGCCTGCCCAACCAGACGGCAGGAACGGTGGACGTCTACGGTCTCCAGATCCTGGACGCAACCCTGGAGGCCGGCAACACAGCGGAGGAGGAGGACACGGCGGCTTCGGCGTTGCTGCTGAAGCACGAGTCCCTCGACGGAGGGGCCGACGACGTCACGCTGGCCACCCTGGGAGAGGTGCTGCTGGAGCCCACGCTCACCACATTAGGAAATTTTCTGGTGCGCTCCAACAGCCAGAGCTCCGTGGCCTCGGCCAGCTTCACTGTGGGAGGCTTCCAGCTGGAGCCTGAGCGCCTTCGCCTGGAACATTGTGCGCACCTACACCCTGGCGCCAGGGCTTTCCACGGCCTCCAACCTGGTGATGTACGTCAGCGCGGCCGACAGCCTTCGGCGGGTCTATCCCCGGGCTGGTGCAGCCACGCTGGACCTGTACAGCATGCAGATCAGGGCCAGCGCCTTCGAGGGAGACTCGGTCTCCGTGACGGACCTGCTGGCCGACTCGCTGGCCCTCACGGGCTCGGCCACTCTGGACGGACTCACTGCGCAGGGCAACGTGGGCTGCGACCAGCTGCTGTGCAACGACGTGAACTGCACGGACGTGTTCACAACGGGCGTGGCGCTCACAGCCACCGGCACCGTCGCCGGAGCCACGCTGACGTCCACCGGCGCCGTGTCGGGCAGCTCGCTGAGCATCAGCGGGGCGGCCAGCGTGGGCCTGCTGAGCTCGGCCACCGGAATCACCGGCAGCACTCTCACCATCAACAACACGGCCAACGCTGGGAACTTCACCACGGTGGGCGACGTGTCCACGGGCACGCTGACGGCCTCAGGCGCAGCAACCGCAGCGAGCTTCGCAGCCACCGGGGCGGTCACGGGCGCCACGCTGACGATCACCGGGGCGGGCCCGCTGGACTGCGAGAGCCTGGGCTGCACCTTCACAGCCACGAGCGGCGGAGTGTCGACGGGCAGCGTGGTCTGCGGCGACGTGACGAGCTCGGGCACGGTCTCCGCGCCGCAGCTCTTCGCGTCCAACACGCTCATCGTGACCAACACCTCCGACGTCTCGGACGATCTCTTCTTGACGAAGAACTGGGCGGGCTGGAGCAAGCTGCAGATCTCCAACAACAGCGCGGCCTCCGACAGCGGCCCGGAGCTGCGGTTGCTGGGCAACCAGAGCGCGCGGGTCTTCCTGGAGCGAGACGGCGGGGCGCACCAGTGCGAGCTCATCATGATCAACGACGAGGCGCTGGTGCAGACGAAGAGCCGCTCGACGCAGCTGTCCTTGACCACGAACCAGAGGAACCCCGGCTGCCTGGTGATCGCAGGCAACACGGGCAACGTGGTCTGCAACACGAGCTTCACGAATTTGTCGGACACAGGGTGAAGACGGAGATGGCCGAGGCCGACGTGGCAGAGCTGCTGCAGCTGTTCGACTCCGTGGAGGCCATGCAGTACAAGCGCCCGGACATTCGCCTCGAACGACTTCGCAGGAACGAAGTGGAAGAACCTGACGGGCACCGCCAGGTGGAGCGACGGCACGGAGATGATCACGCTTGACTACTCGCACCTCACCAGCGTGCTCTGGGGGGTGTGCAGGGCTTCCAGGCCCGGCTGGACGAGTTGGAAGCCTGGCAGGCCCAGCGGGGGCCGAAGAACAAGTAAACATGGAGGCGCTGAGACTTCAACGTGCGGGACCCGCAGAAGCTGTACCGACTTGCGAGGCAGCGCGACCTTGACGTGACGCAGGCCATGGCCTTCGAGGCGCTGAAGGCCGACGTGGGCCGGCAGGTGCAGGCGCCCCGGCCGCGTGCGCTGGGCAAATCGGCCGCCGAGGGGCCGAACGACCGGCTGCAGGCCGACCTCATCGACTTCAGCCAGAACACGCGGGGGAAGACGAAGTATGGCCTGGTGGTGATGGACGTCTTCACCCGGGAGGCTGCCGAGGAACCTCTGCAGAACAAGAACGCCGAGACGGTCGGCCGGGCCACCAAGCGTGCCACGCAGGAGCTGACGGGGGACGACAAGAACTTCGTGGTCACGACCGACCTGGGCAACGAGTTCGCCACACTGGACCGGGAGCTGCCCGCGGAAGCCGTGCACCGAACGAAGCGCCCGGAGGACCGCAACGCCACGGCCGTGGTGGACCGGGGAATCCAGACGCTGAAGAAGGACCTGGCCACGCGCGTGGCCCGCAAGGGCGGCCAGTGGAGCGACCAGAGCAGACCGCTTCGGCCTACAACGCAAGCAGCCGTCAGGGTCCTCCAAGACAACAGACTTGACGAACCGCCGCATCAAATCAAGGCAGTGGAGGTTCCGAGCACCGACGAACGCGGCGAGGAGCTTCAACCCTCAGTACGGCGACGTGCAGCAGCTGCGGGCCGTGGACTCCATGACCGTCCGGAGCACCGAGGGCCGGGAGACCCTGCTGAAGCTGGCGCGCCCCAGGGCAGCGGCAACGCGGCGGGCCGACTGACGAGGCGGGGCAGGCCGGCAGCTGTCAGGCAGCTGGACGACTTCCTGGCGCCTCCAAGGCCCAGGACCCTCGACTGATTACGGCTACTTTGGACCAAACTGGAAACTTTGCATAAAGCGCTGGAAACTTGTAGTACTTTGAGTCTGTTTTTGGGGAACCCTAGCATGATTTTCCTGAGAGCACCCCAAGTCATTATAAAAATCTAAATCCCCATGTCCGTGTCCTCGACCTATCGACCTGCCCGAGCAAGACGTCGAGACCGCAGAAGCCTCAGGCATTGAGGCATCTAACAAGGGTTGGACATCTGAGGTGCGCTCAAGACAGCAAGGGTTGGACAGTGTTTTCCTTGCGCAAGCACGCCATCTGTTCACGTGACTTGCCGGGTCTCTGCAAATGGCTGACACTGTACGTCACCCAAAAGCCTAAGAGCTACTTGTCGATGCCGATCGGAGCTTCACACCCACCATGCGCTCATTTTGCTTGAGGGTGGAGATGTACCGCGGGCCATAGGATTGTCCTTTAATCCCCAACTTCGAGATCACGCTCTTTGCCGCGCCCAAGGTGCCCAGGCTGAGGTAGGTCTTCAGCGCCATCGTCAGCTCTGTGTGGAGGCTTGCTTCCTTCAAGGGCACCAGCTCACACATCTCTGTCATGAAGGCCTCGGGTTTGGCCTTGTCTGCACATGGGACCAGGTCCATGGCGCTCATCTTCATCTCCGGTGGCTGCGGCTTGATCTCGGTGCCTGGGTTGTACTCCATCTCCAACGAGTCCACGAGATTTGCCGCAAGGAAGAATGTACTTGTTGAACTCTCCTCGGTTTATCCGGGTCTTGAGGCCATCCACGGCTCGCTCCTCGGTGGCCATGGACGGCTTCAAGGTGAAGCTGACCGTTGTCTGGCAGACTCGAAGCCGCCGCAGCATCCCATCCGGTCGAGTCACACGGGGAGGGTGATTGCTTGTTGCCACCAGCAAACGTAGGCATGAAGTCCCGGAGACCCTTGTTGAGCTTCCTGCTGCAGACTGGCGCACCTTCCATGTCACAAAAGGGCTTGATGAAGTCATCCGCCAACGAGTAGTGCTCGGGGACTTCACTGGCCAGCCGCTTGCCTAGAGTCCTTGCATGGTAAGGCGCGGGTCCGTCCTTCGCGGTCAGGTAGCGAGTCTGTTGCACCACATAGTTTCCCGGAAGCTGCACCCCGTAGTTGTCCTTGCCGTGACCGAGGAAGGCGTGCAACATCTTCACCTTGGTGTCCTTCCCGGAATCCTGGCTTCCCCAGATGTAGTACATCTCGCAGAACCGCGGCGTCGCGGAGATGGCCCTGATCATGAGACGCAGCTCGTACAGGACGGAGTCCCAGTCCCCGTACACCTTCATGTGGCGGAGGATCTCGCACCCGTCCTGCTCCAATTCCTCGAAGCACTCGATGACCTGTTTGCCATTCTCGCTGGCCTCGAGCAGACACACCCCCGTCTCCACACTTCAAGAAAGCCAGGATGTGCTCGAAGAGCTTGGTCGCCTTGCTCGGCTGCCACATCTCTGAGGTCGCCTTTGCGTGGAAGCCCATGCGGTCGGCGGGCTCTCTCTATACACAAGGGTTTCCAACTGCCACAATATTGCAGCTACGGACCCAGCAGAGCTCGTCCGCTCAGGAAACGACCTTGCCCTGCGAAGAATTTCAAGTCCAGAATTGCTCCTGCAGCCACGGCGCTGCAACGTAACGCACCCTCGATTTGCTTGCAATTTGCCTTGTAGCCTCACTTCTGCACGCCGAGCTTTTTTTTGCAGGCGGTGTGTAGAAGTGAGGCTGCGTGAATTCCTGCGCAAGCTTTGCGGGCCCGTAACTGCAATATTGTTGGAGTAGGCAACCCTTGTGCATACCATCCCTTCCTCTGGGCCGGGTCCTGGATTTGAAAATCTAAATGCTTCCATCTCTGGTAGGCAGTCTCCGCGTGCTTCTGTGCCGGTACTCTCTGGGCCGGACCTTGGATTTTATTTTTATATAAAAATCTAAATGCTTCCATCCCTGGCAGGCAGTCTTCCGCGTGCTTTCCGTGCTACTCCTCCGCAACCGCAATCTCGTCACAGAGCGCCGCTGGAATGCTGTACAGCAGCTCACGGGACTGCCTGCGAACGTTCTCGTAGCGCTGGCCGATTTTCCGGGGACCCCGTGCCTGCCGTTCTCCCAGGCCTCGCAGCGGTTGCCGGGCCCGCAGAGTCCGCAGCTGGGCGCCCAGCGCATGTTCGTCCAGATGCCACAACTTACCCATAAACTTCAGCTGCATGCCTGTTTTAAAAGGACGCATGGGGAAGATCAAGCTGTTTCCTACGACAGAGTATAGCAGTAAGCAGCCCTCTGACCCCGTGGTGCCCCTGGTGCCATGCACGGGCATCTTCCTCGGGCCAGCAAAATCGGGCAAAACCGTGGCTCTGATCAGCCTGATTCTGGAGCAGTATCGCGGCGTCTTTGAGAGAATTTACATCTTCAGCCCGAGTGTCAACATATACGACGGCTGGATACCCGTCAAGAAGTACATTGAGGAGGACCTGGGGGTGAACACAGAGCGGGAGCAGACGTATTGGGACGAGTGGGACGAGGCGGCGCTGCGGCGCATCATCCAACAGCAGCGCAAGATCACGGAGGCGTCCAAGAAGTTGGAAATGAAGAAACTGTACCAGGTGCTTGTAGTCATCGACGACTTTGCTGACACGCCGCAGTTGCACAAGCCTCACGGCGCCCTGGATACGCTGTTCATCAGGGGCCGGCACATGCAGATCAGTACCTGGGTGAGTTCCCAGAAGCTGAGGCTCATCAGCGCCGCCGTGCGGGTCAACATGCAATTCCTCTGCTGCTGGAGGCTGCGCAACCAGCACGAGCTGGATGCCGTCATCGAAGAGCTGAGCGCGCTGCTGCCGAAGGACCTGGCAGGAGACCCCGAGGCCGGCGCCTTGGCCAGCAACGGGCAGGGGCCGCCCTCCATCACGGACCGTCTGCGCAGCACTGCAGACGGCGCGCAGGCGGCAGCGGACCTCATAGGCGGGGCTCGCAGCCGCGCAGGCCTTCCGCTCTCAGCTGCCCCAGAACGCAGCTGAGTACGTGCGCCTGAACGCGCTGTCCGGGCCAGGCGCAGCCGCCTCCGCAGATCATAGGCCGGCCCAGTGACGTGGAGCGCCTCCTGGACGAGGCGGGGCAGCGCGCGCAGGAGGTGGAGCGCGGCGCGGTGCAGAGGAGACGGCGGCCGTGGCTGCGGAGGAGGGCGAGGTTGCCGTTGCCGCCGAGGGCGTGGGCGGAGCCTTTGGGTACCTGGGGGGCCTGGCAGAAGGGGCCGCTGCCCTGGCGCCCACCGCGGGCTGGAACGCTGGCTGGCGCGGCGGGAGTTGGCGCGGCGGCAACGGCGGGGCTGGCCGTGGGCATCGCAGGCGGCGCAGCCTACGGCCTCGCGCGCGGCACGGGATGGGTGCTGGAGAACACGCTCTTCCGGCCCCAGCAGGGCAGCGAGGACGCGGCCGTGCAGGACGTCCGGTCCGCCAACAACATGAATGACGCCACTCAGCCTCAGCACTTCACGCTGCGCTCAGGCAGCAGCACTTCAGGCACCCCCGCACTGCCCCGCACTTCGCCGCGCGTCCTCGCCCTGTCCGCGTGCAGGCGCAGTCCAACAACACGCCGCGCCCCTTCTCCTGGGGCCTGAACCCCGTGGCCCTGCCCCAGTCCCAGAGCTCGCGGGCAAGCTCCAGTTCCGGGCAGTCACGCCGGAGCCTGCCTCCGCCCAGCTTCGACCAGCTGGCACGAGACATCGAGGCTGCCTAAAAAAAAATCCAGCCGATTTCGCTCCTTCGCCGTACGAGTGAAAATGCGTGTCGTGGTACATGTAAAGAAGCATGGAGGTAGTCACCGCCGGAGCCCAGGATGAGCTGATGCAGAGCCTGGACGACGAGCAACACCAGCTACGTGACGGCGCGGCACGACGCGCAGTACTTCCCGAGCTCGCTGAGCTCGTTCTCCCCCACAACCTCTCGGGTCTGCCGCATCCCGCTGACCAGCGGCACGTCCTTCATCGACCCCGAGTCCATCAAGATCGCCTTCCGCGTCAGGAACACGGACGGCACCAATTCGCTGGCCCCAGCCACGCCCAACCCCGCCTGCTTCGTCCAGCGCGTCCAGGTCTTCGCCAACGGCCAGCGCTGCGACGACATCAACTACTACGGCCGCACCGTGGCCGTGCACGACCTGCTGAAGGGCCGGGAGTACAACCGCAACAAGACAACGACGCGGGCTCCAAAATCCACTTGCTGGCCAACCCGGGGCAGGACGTGGCCCCCATCGGCGCGGCCAGGCAGGAGGACAGCCTCCTGGAGTCTCAGATGCAGCTGGGCAGCCTGCAGTACCCTCACAACCCCCTCGGAGCACTTCCACTTCCTCTCCGTCCTTGCGGGTACTTACGACGACACGGTGCGCAACATCGACATCGGCCGCGTGGGCTACCTGCGCCACAGCTTCATTGCCGGCTTTCCGACAGAGCGCGTGCCCAAGATGCCACTGAGTGTGTCAGCACCCGCTCGGGTGACCTTGCCCGGTTATGCGCGCGGACACGTGGGCGCGGCCACGCTCCGGCGAACCCTGGAGCGCATGGACGCTGCGTGGTGCGAGGGCGAGGAGCACATGGCCAAGCTCTCGGTGAACGCGATGATCGGGCTATGGGCGCGCCGCGCGGACGTGATCTACTCCGTGCGCAGCAGCAGCTGCCGGACGGCCCCGGCGCCGACTTCACGCAAAGCTTCTGCTACGGGGAGGGCAGCGTCTGGGACTTCGTGTACACACGGCGCCTGCTAACCAACGGAACGTATCGCCCCATCCACGACGCCGTGCTGGGCTTCGAGCACTGCATGGTGGCCAAGGCCTGGCGGCTGCTGGCGGCGCCGCGGTACGTGAAGGAGGTCAAGACGGACTGCCTACTGCTCCAGGGGCTGCCAAAGAGCCGGCAAGAGAGCCTGGAGGCGCTGACCAGGCTGCGGCACCAGGACGGCACACCCGTCTTTCGGGTGGAGGAGTGTAAGCCATTGCTGGGGCGCAGCGCACCGCCGCGCATGGAGGCGGGGAGGCCAGCGCTGCGGCGGTGGCGCGAGGTGGAGGACCCCCTGGAGCACTGCGCGGCCGGCAACTCCCTGTTGCTCACCGGCCTGCCGGGCACCGGGAAGACGTACCTTGCGCGCAAGATCGTGGCGCGGCTCCGTGAGCAGGGCGAGGCGGTGCACCTGGTGTCGAAGACGCATTGCTCTGCGCAGAACCTGGGGCTCGGCGCGCAGACGGCCGACCACTGGGTGCGCAGGTACGTCCGCAACGGGAGCGTGCAAAAACTTGACTGGCTCGTGGTTGAGGAGATCACCCAGCTGGACATGGCGCTCTGGGCGGACCTGGCGCGCGTGGGGCTGAACCCCGACGTGAAGTTCCTGCTGCTTGGCGACTTCCGGCAGCTGCCCGCGGTGCTGGACTCCTGGCCATCAGCGCCCCGCTGGAGCATAGCCAGCTGGTGCTGGACCTCGCAGGCGGCCACCGGCACGAGCTCACCGAAAACATGCGCTCCGACCCCGGCATCTTCGAGGAGGCCAAGGCGCGGGCCCGCGAACTCTTCCCCGCCAAGCCAGGGTGGCCCGAGATCATCAGCCACGCGCGGCGGGTGGCCGTGAACGCGGCAGCCAACCGGGCCCTGCAGCCACCGGGCGCCAAGCTTAGTACTGGAAACGGGTGTGGAAATTGCTCTGGCGCCCGAGAGCCAATCGCAGAGCCCGCAGAACCGAGCGCAGAACATGCTGGTGTGGCCGGGGCTCCGGCTGATCGGGGGCGGTGGGAAGATTCCCAAGGGCGTCTTTGTGGCCGTTACAGTGGTGGAGCCCGAGCACGTCAGGCTGGACAACGGGCTGCGGCTGAAGCAGCAGGAGCTGCTGCGCGCCACAAGGCTCAGCCACGCCGTCACCTACGCCAGCTGCCAGGGTTTGACTCTGCAAGGCCGCGTCAGGCTGGACCTGGGCCCCGTCCACCTGTCTCTGCGCCACCTGTACGTGGGCGCGTCGCGGGCGACCAGCTCCGACCTGCTTGAGGTGGCGTGATCAGGCCCGTTGCAGCTCCCAAATTATTTTAATAATTTCTGAATTGAAGAAGACCTGGCATGCGATTCCACGAGCTGACAGGTGGGCATTTCACGTTAAGCCGTCTTCACCTTCTTCTCTGGATTCATGAACTAATAGAGGAGATGAACGGGCAGCAGGGCGCTTCGACAGCGTCCAGGGTGAGGTGCAAGAGCACGCCAAACTGGCGGCCCATCAGCCAGACCTGCCGCGCCTCGATCACGGCGCGCCCCCGGCGGCGAGCAAACTCCGAGGGCTGCGGTGCGGGCTTGCCGTTTGAGTCCCAGTAGACGCAGCGCTCCAAGTTGATCTTCGCCTTGACGTGC